GTTTAAAATTATTTATTTATATAATTTTTAAATGTAATTTATATATTTAAATATTATATATATATATAATTTTATTATAAATTTTAATTATACATCATAAATATTTAGCATGTGAATTTCACATGATAAAATATTAGTCAAATGCAACAACAATCTTTTGGAAGAATATAATCAGGAGTTATTTTTTGAGAAGAACATGTTTTTTTAATTTCTTGTTTAATTCATTTTTATTTATCATATTTAATTTTTTTAATATTTTAAAATAAATTATCAATAATTAAAAATAATCTTTTACTACAATTTAAATTATCTATCTTATACCAAAAATATATATTATATGTTTACAAATATTTTTTTATATATTTTTTAAAATATTATTATTCACATATTTAAATATAGTATTTATTTATATATATTATTATAAATTTTAGTTATATAATAAATATTTAACTTATAAAATGCACATATATACTAAAATACTGGTAATATATCATATTATTCACGCTTTTAATATTTAATTTTTTATCTATAAATTTTTTATTTTTTTATCATATTTATTTATAAACTATATTTTAATATAACTCCAAGCGTGTGGTTCAGCGGTAGGGGTTGATTCACGCTTAAGCAAGGTCAGGGGTTCGAATCGAATCTTGCCTTGTGTATACAGTCGCGTTAAATCTTGGGACCAGTTATCCCACCCTTTTTGCCTGCTACCAGCCCTAGATACTCCAGGGCCGAAAAAAAAAAAAACTATATTTTCATATTTCTAAAATAAATTATTGATTAACAAATTAGTTGTGTTAGGTGTTAGTTGTTATTTTAGCTATGGTTTACATTATGCTTATCTCATTCACATTCTTGTTTCTGTTGTTCACGTTTTCGCCTCTCGGGTTTACGTTCCTTCTTGTTACTCTAATTCATGTTTTTTAACATTTGATTTTCTTCTTTAAACGTTTTTTTTTTCTTGGTTTGAATATGGCATTTGTTTGTTTTTGAACTCGAAGTTTGTTGGTCCATTCTAGGTGTTCATTCGTTCTTTCATACATCTATGGTTCTTTGCCTCTCTCGCAATGACAATACTCACTTACTCTTCATTTCAACACAATTTCTCGTCACAACCCATAAATCAATCATTGATTTGTTCATTCCCGTGTGAAATTATCCAAGTGAGGCACGCGTACAGCTTCATTTTCGACTCTAGTTTTCAGCCTCTTGTTCAAAGCACTCTAACCTTTGATAATCAATTATTTCTTTTAGTGATCAATTCATTCTAGCATAGCACGTTATGCGTAGCAACTTAAAGAACCATGATACTTCTTTATGTCCGCCTTGTTTTCAAATGTTAATTTTGTTACAAATTTTAATGGTTTTATTACACAGCAAAACAAAAGTTAATTTCAATTATATTCCACTAAAATATCATAGTGTGCTATGCTAGAAAAAAAAAAAAGGCTATAGGAGGTAGAACTAAATGGTATTGATTTGGTTTGGGAATGACCCGTAAACACCGATTGATGGTAGTAACAAAAGCTTATACAAAACTACAATTTTATTTTTTAGTCATCACTTAGAAGATCTCTCTAATATTATAATATGTGTGCTTTTATAAATTATTATATTTTTTCTTATTTTATCTACGTGAGATTTGTTTGTATTTCAATAAATTTTTGGTTGAAGAAGGTTGGGATCAGTTATAGGTGGTGAAGCGAGTGAGGGTTCCAATCATGGAAGGTTCCATTTTCTATAAGAAAAGATACGTATCTCTTGCATTCAACAAATCCACGCATCATTGTTCCCCATGTTTCTATATACATATAAATTAATCTTTTTCGCGAAATGCAAGTAACCCTTTCATAATCACGTTATAAGTTATAACATTGTGAAAGCGTTGTTCAAGATCAGTACGGATACGTTCATGTATTTCCCTCCATGAAGGGGTTTGTCTGTTTGGTCGGTTTAAAGTGTATATTGTAATAACTCCACGTTCATCAAAACTCAAAAATAAATATTGGACTGATTTTTTATTTGGTTTCAAATTAAGAAGAATTCATTTTTATGATATTAATTTTAATTCATGAATGTGATTGAAAATTTGAAATGTCTACTGAACGGTGAACACCAGTATAAACTCCATATTTATTAGATCATGTATATATTTCTCATTAAAAAATATGGGAATTTCTTCTTACTTTAAGTAAATAAGTGCGAACCTTTTTCCCTTTTGACTATTATTTTTATTCGTAAAAATTAAACTTGGTATAAAAAATTAATAACTCATGCATACTGCTTAATAACTAAATTGGAGCTCGTTAATTTATGTCTTTCAAATTTGATTCGATCACACTTACTGGTGATATTCAAATAAATACGAGGGTATCGTATACCACTAGAAAAGTTTACTACAATAAATGTTGAAATGGAAAATTAAAATTTCATTACATATAACATGCTTGAATTAAAATTAACTTTGATTTTTAGTTTCAAAATTTAAAACAAAATGAGTCTGGATAAAATGTTGAAATGATTTTTAGTTTAATTTCATAACACTTTCCAAATTCATTTTAAAATCAAGGAAAAAAGTTTTGTGAATTTAGCTTTTTGTTTATTGTTTTTAAAAAATACACATACTTTTGTTTGTTACATCGACAATTATCATTTCTCCCACAATTACTATTAACATCAATATTGTCATCACCATTATTAATATTATCATTATCTTTATTATTATCTCTAGTGTCACCCTTAACACAAAAATTACTTAGATTATTATTACTAAAATTGTTATCGTTACAACTACTCACAATTTTACCACCACTTTTACTATTACTACCAACAACACAACATTGTCATCGCTACAAAATTTATAAAATTGTCTTTCATGTATTGTTAAATTTATCATTTGCATGTGAAAAATAAATTATATGATACTTACAAATCAACTTACTTCCATGTACCGAATCCGTATTTAAGAACAAAGATAAGAATATAACATTTTTATTTTCCTGATAGATAACAGATCTCAAATTCTATTCATGATATAAAATATTCAATTATTAATAAAAATTGAAGTTGGCTCCTCCAAAAATAAGGAAGCCAAATCCAATAAAATTATATATATCAAACTGCAACTAATTTACATATTAGACAAATATATACACCAGCTGTGTCACTTGAGAACACATAAATGTCTGGGGGGGGGGGGGGGTT